TAATAATATTATCATATATAAATATTATTATTAAATAATAGTATCATTATTATGGTAATTAAATAAGGGTTATGTTATAGTGCTCACACTATAGAGTAATTTAGTATTGTACTAAACATATTTTGATACTTGTATACCATTATTTTGTACATTAAGATTGTTTTTAGTAAGGGTATTTTTGGTAATTAGGAGACGTGTGATGTCATCTACATGGGGTGAGTGTGACATCACCCACATAAAGCATTAAATGCCACTAGTATGTTAAATGTGGGCGATGGCACACCCATATGGAGGACGTCATACTTCTCTTAATGACAAAAAATACCCTTATTAAAAAAATATTTCATATACAAAACAAGAGTATAGAAGTATCTAAAATTTATTGAGTACAATGATAAATTACTCCATAACGTGAGCACCTTAACATAACCCATTAAATAATATCATAATATTGATATTCAACATATTAAGGGACAACGAAATATAAGATAATTAAAATAAATGATATTAATATATTTTGATTATATAATGAGACATAACACGCATGCACACATTGCGCATGCACACATATTAATAGGTCAATTAAATTATCAAATATTATTAATAAAAGGGAAAAATTTATATAGAGCCTAGGCTCCAAACAATCAAATTAGAACCTATTTCAAAACTTTCACTAGAAAATATTGTTTTCCTGCCCAAATATCTTCAAATCGATCATCTCGACATCAAGATGCATAGACATGAGAAAAAAAATGAATTTCAAGTTTTGACAATAGTGCATCTTGTAACGCATTTTTCAACCGTCAATTTTTAAGATTTTCAAGCTTTCATAGATATGCTCGATTTACACTATTTTTGAAGCTTTCAATCCTATAACTATAGATGAAAAAATAATTTAAGGCTATCACAAAACTTTCTAGTATTGAAAACATATTTCTCGACACTATTTGAAGGTGAGGTCTAATTTAATTGTTTAGATCCTTGGCTATATACAAACTGTACCCTTAATAAGATGGCTATATTATTATTATTATACAATAGTGTGAATTACATTATTATTGTTAGATTAAATTACAATGATATTTTTAGAAAAAATAACATATATATCCATTCTATTTAACGTTATTACATAATTACTACAAAGTTTTCGTCATTACATGTATGCCTGTTTTTTTCAACTTCATAACATTTTTTTTAAAAAAAGATAGAACAACCCTTTCCAATTTTATTTAAACATTTCAAATTTTTAAAAACCAAAAAATAAAATTTTTTGGTTTTTGAAAAAATCAAAAACTATCTTTCATTTTCCAATAGCTTAATGGAAAATTTACTCGAAAGAGATAAATTTTAGGTTTTTGAAAAACCATCAATTTTTTTTATTTTTCAAAAACCAAAAATTATCTTCCATTTTTCAATAACTTATAAATTTGATTCAACAAGATGATTAAGGTTCGGCCTAGAGGTGTTTGGCATCCTCTAATGAGTGGCAGCCTAAAGTTGAATTTTGATGGAAATTGAATTTTGATGGAAATTCATTTGAAAATATGAATGAAGCTAGCTTTGGAGGAGTTATAAGGGATTCAAATGGCCTAGTGGTTTTATACTATGCAGGACCTTGTGGAGTGACTATGACTAATCATGCGGAGTTACAAGCTTTGTTACAAGGACTTCACCTTCTTTTTCAGCCATTTACATTCATATCGTGCATTATTGAAGGTGATTCCCCCCATATCATTAATTGGTATAATAAGGAGTCTCGGTCACCATAGAGTTTGAGATATAAGTGGATGGGATTTATGGACATCAGTGACCAGTTGGAAGTTTCATTCCAATATGTGTTGTGTATAGAAAGGCTAATGAGATTGCATATGGTTTAGGAAAAAACGGGATTCAGCTGGGAGAGATGTTGATTTCTGAAGATTTACTTCCCTTTATATGGTGTGATTGTAATATCTTTGATTAATTAATGAAGTTATAGTATTCTTGTTAAAAAAATAATATTTATATTAGTTTGCAATAAATTAGATAATTATTATAATTATTGCATATCCATCATTATACTAAAATGATAGTTTTTTATAATTATGTATTACAAATTATATACTAATATAGCATTGTATATAAAAATATTAATACTTAAATACCTTTTTTAAAAGCTTTTGCATATTTCACTTTAATAGTATCATTATCTGATTCTCTCTAAAAAATTCTCATATGTATTCAAAATTTAGAAGTATGCTTTCGCCAATACATATTTAAATTGATCTACTATGTGCACAGCACATAATAGCTTGGGCAGTGAATGAGATACTTAACTATGTGCAAAGCACATAATTCCACTAGTAATAATATTTGACATTTATATAAAATATCAAAATCATCCCTAATTGGTAGATGTGAAATTTGGTGGCTCATATCACTAGCTTTTAGCCCAAGGCATTCAGGTTTTAGTTCCACACATGTATAGGATGAGAATAGTAAAAATGTTTAATCCTCTAAAACAACTAACTGTCCAAAGCCATCAATGAAACAAAAGAAAGAATGTACAATAAAGTATCCGGAGCTGTTGGTCGCCAAAGGCCAGAGAAAAGTATAAAAATGGATCATTTAGTTTTAATACAAAGAGTTAATAATCATTCTTATCAGTTGCAAGTGTGTTATTGATTAGACTCAAAATTCAAAACAAATTTTCTCAAACTTTGTGATACACCCCAAGCCATTCAATTTGACCTCGAATAAATGTAACCACCTATAACAATGATAAATGATCTCATCTCATAGCATACAATCCTTTATTTTATTGACTAGGCTCAAAAGCCAATAAAATAATACGACATACCTCAGCCAAACAATATATTTGACCACTGGAGGTTCTCATGACCTTTTTAGATATAATAAATATCACAGTCTCATTGTATACAAACCCATGAAACAAGAAGAAACTATTAAAATATACTGGAATATAGTTAAAGCATTGCGGAAATTAATTGTATATCCCATATAATTATTGTAATCACTAAAATCCCCATCAAACTTTTAATATTACGTGTACATCTCATTTTTAAAATTTTTTTTTTTTTAATCCCATTTTTCTCTCATTTCGAATGTTGAAAATCTAAAATCATACATTACTTTAGATTTCCAATGTCCGAAGTCATAACGTTACCTTAAGACATAGGGCGTCCAATATCCAAAGTCACCTCATTAGGACGGTGAATTCTACCTTATGACTTTGGACCTTGGAATTCCATGGTTATAAATTAATTTTTTTACTTTCACAACATACGAAGTGAGGGTAAAATAAAAACAAAAAAATAAGATTACAGAAGGGATATGCACATAATATTTAAAATTTAAAGGGAATTTTGGTACTTGCTATAATTATTTAGATATAAGGATAAGTTCCTCTAAAGCATTTTACGTGCTTAACGTCCGAGCATTGTCCGCCTGAATATTATTTGCGGGCTACAGTTTGCATACGGACGCCTCCGTAGGTGTAGAGGTACTGTGCTCTTCAAATTTTGTTACTGTGCTCTTCAAATTTTGTTATGGTATATAATTATCATGTAAAATGTTATTAGGATTATTTTAAATTTTATTTTTATATTTAATTATAAAATTTTAAATTTAAAAAATGATTAAGTAGATTTATAAACATATAAAAATCTTGAAAATGGACGGTGTATATAATATGTTGTAAAATGCACTATTTTTGAGACTTAAAATCTTCGTTTTTTTCATAGCCATACATCTCAAATCGAGATGATCAATCAAAGGGTTTTTTAATATTAAAACTACCTTTTCATATGGATTTTTTAGCGGTATTCGTAGTTTTACATTATAAGGTAACGTCCTTATATAAACTTTTTCCATATTTGCGAGTGTTATGTGCTATTATTTGCGACTGTTATGTGCACCATTTCAACATTCACCCTAATAGGGGTGGCAACGGGTCGGGTCAGAACCAGTTGGACGACCTGGACCCGATAAAAACTATGGGACTCACACCTAGACCCAACCCAAAAATAAGTATAAATGTATTTTTAAATATATTTATATGTTATGTTAAATATATACAAGTATTTTTTAACTATTATAATTTAAATATATAATTAAATTTATTTAAATAATATTAAATTATTTTATATTAAACATTATTTAAATAGTAATCAAATTAGAGCCTACCTTCAAATAGTATCGAGAAATGTTGTTTCACTATTGGAAATCTTTGTGATAGCCTTAAAATATATTTTCATAATTATTTATAAAGTTTAAAGCTTCAAAAATAGTGTAGATCGACAGATCTATGAAAACTTGAAAATCTTGAAAATTGATAGTCTAAAAATGCATTACAAAATACACTATTTCCAAAACTTGAAATCCAATGTTTTCTCATGTCCATGCATCTTGATGTCAAGATGATCAATTTGAAGATATTTGGATATCAAAACAACATATTCTAATGAAATTTTTGAGGTAGGCTCAAATTTGATTGTATAGAGCCTCGGCTCCATATAAACTTTACCCATTGGAAAATGGCCTAAAGTTCAAGAGTATAGGAAAATATAGACTGACATGAAAAAACAAAAAGAGCAAAAGGCAAAGAACTAAATTTGGGAAGTAACTTTATTCTAAAGAGAACAAAGGCGATATTTCTCATAGATCAGAGAATGTTGTGTATAGTGAGAGTTGGATTCTACTTTTGAGGTTTTATTTCTTATCAAAATCACTATCCAAATTAATAGCTTTAATTTACAACCCAATGAGAACTCCTCTCCCCATTTGCCTAATTGGAACTCTAGAACATTTAACATATTTCTCTGTTATATGGCTTATTTTGCTTTTAAATTTTATTCAAGATTTTATAGGGAAACTTTTTATTATTAGGACAATAATGTAAATCCAAAATTATTGTGAGAAATTAATTTTAAGGGGATAGGTTAAATTATAATGGATTAGCTCAAGATATAATTCCTTAACTCTTTCCCTTGCAACTAGAATAAAGACAATTAATAAGACATACATAATAATATGGTAATAAATAGCTATTTGCTAGAGCTCTTAATTCACAAAATTGAGCTACCACATTGCAATGTCCTCAATACCTAATAAAAATTATGATGTACAAAAGGAGGAAAGTGCCTGCATATCTCCATGAAACAGAGCATAGGCGTGACAATGGTGGGGGAGAAGAGGAGAGACTCTTCCTGAAAAATAAAATTAAATAAATAAATAAATAAATAAATAGCTAAATAAACAAGAACGTAAAAACTATTTAGAACATTTTCCAATAAATAACAATATTCTAAATAACAAAAATAAAGTTACTGTAGGAGAAGAACTTACCCTGAACTCTGGTAGGTACAAGATCCATAACCTGCTCACAAAGTAAGACAACAAAAAAAGACGCATGTAAGAACTTAAGCTTATTTTCTTAAGATGTTAATGTTCTATAATATGGTTTAGAAATTTACGTATTTATTTTAGGATTAACTAAAGGGATTGACCGTTTATCTTTTATACATAGAGGTCACAATCATTCACATTCATTAAATGTCAAATTAGATGGGCTTTAGGCGAGTCATGAAGTTTGTGGGGTTGGGTCCCTATCCTTTTAAGAGAATGGAGTCAAAGACCTCACCATGGAGCTCGATAATACAGCCGTCAAGGCAATGATATTCTTATAACCACCCATTTTGAAATTTATAAGACAAGAACGATTATGACCTACATGAACAAAAGATAAATAGTCTCTTTTTAGACAATCCCATATGAGCTTCCTCGGGTGCAAATGGATCAGATCTTGACCCGACAAGCAGGCCCGGCAAGTCGGGTCTTAGTCCACTTGACTTCAACTCAACCAAGCCCCAAGTCAACCGGGTCAGGTTGAGTCCATTCCCTACATGATTCAAACCCCTACATCCATATCTATAGGAATTCACAAAGGCTCAAGAAGAAGAAGAAGAAAGAGAGAGAGAGAGAGAACAAGAAAAGAAAATGAAGAGAGAGAAAGGTGGCTTACTTGGATCTCTAGATATGATCCCTGCAGTTCCTCCAAAGTTACAAGCAATTGGGGCATTTCCATTTTGTTGATAGTAGTTATTGAATGCATAGGAGGCATGGGACACAAGGTTGTCAGGCTCAAAGCAAATTTCACCAGGCTGAATGGGAGAGCAATCAGCCATGCCTAGCCCACAAGCCCAATCCAAGGCATTTTGGAGATCATCTTGTTTGGCCCCTGCTAAAGCCACGCACCATGATGTTCCATCCAAGAACGTGGTGTTGCCTTCTGGTGGAGAGTATGTGGGGATGGGGATTGTTGATTCTTCTTTCACTTGGGCTCCTGCCCAAACTAAACAAAAACCAACAAATCAATATTCAGTGAACTTTTCTTGAAGATATTTTATTTGTAATCCTACTGGAGTTTCATCCAAGTGTGATTTTTACGAGTCTCCATGTATTTATAATTTATGTGCTTAAGGTTGTTACCCATATGATCAGCTGATCTTTATTAGAATACTCTCAGTAAACATACAATAATCTCACATATTAATCGTGGCTTAACAATAATAACCCGTGCAAGTTTGTGATATTATGATAGGCTCTCCGCTGCTTTGACCCGAGTCAATCGATTTTTGAATTTCTGCCTCTGCTTATTCAGGGTGAAGGACAAAGATTATTCACTAGTTCCATAGTTTTAAGAAGGGGGAAGTTTATATAGATTCGAGGCTCTAAACAATCCAAATAGACCCTACCTCAAAAACTTCACTAGAAGAGGTTGTTTTGATGCTCAAATATCCTCAAATTGATCATCTCGACATCAAAATGTATGGACATGAGGAAAAAATAGATCTCAAGTTTTGAAAATAGTGTATTTTGTAACACATTTTTGGACCGTCAATTTTCAAGATTTTCAAATTTTCATAGATATGTTGATTTACACTATTTTTTAAGCTTTAAACTTTTTAATTAAAAATGAAAATGTATTTTGATGAAAATGTATTTTAAGGCTATCACAAAGATTTCCCGTTTTGAAACCACATTTCTCGACACTATTTGAAGGTATGCTCTAATTTGATTGATTAGATCCGAGGCTCTATATAAACCGCAACCTTTTAGGAATGGCCAATAAATCCCTCTAATAGTAATCAATTAAAAGAAAAAAAAGGTTCATATATTATTTTAGGTAAATGACTAAAAGGCTAAAGCCTACACTTCTTTTGCTTAAGCGACTAAATATACAATATGCTCCCATGTGCCCTAGTATAGTGCCAAATACTCTTTTTCTAAAGGCCAAAAGCATTGTACAATGAGACCGTGCAATAACTTCGTCGAGTACATCATCAGCATAAACCATCCAATCTCCACCGTTCATCCTTAATTACCTATGGTGGAGATGAACCCTGCCTCAGCTAGAGCGGGAAATGGAAAAAGGCAGGTGTCATCTCTACTGTACTCACTGCATATAGCATATAGAAAACATACTACATGTAGTATTATGTCCTTTCCTGTTACGCCCATAACAAAAATGGCACCACACAGAGATGATGAGAAACGAAGGAGAAGGATACCTGCCCTGACATATATTATATAAAAGGCTGCAACGAGATGGGCCTGGGCCTGGTCCTAGCCAGGCCATGGCCATTGTAGTGTCAGCCTAAGCCTAGTCCCCTGACCGGGACTTCACTTTGCATTTAGATATGAAAAGAATAAATTCTAGAAATCCATTTAAAAAGAGAAAAACATTTCCATTATAGGGCCAAGTTATTCTACCATGAACATAAAATTAATAACACAAATAAGAAAAGAATACAGGCATATAATAAATAAATGAATAAATAAAATAGTATAAATAAATGAATAAAGCAACTTGTATAAGGCATGAGTGCGTGAACAATGAGCTTCAGACAGTAGATTGCCAATGCCCATTAAAAGGCTGAATGGGAAGATAAATAATGGAGAGAGAGAGCATAAAGAAATGAGAAAGTAAATAACTGAATAAGAGAGAGAGAACATGAAGAAATGAGAATAAAATGAATGAAGAAATGAGTACAGAGAGAATGCGATGAAGAAAAGAGAATAGAATGAAGAAATGAGAAGAGAGAGAGAGAACATGAAGAAATGAGTATAGAATGAAGAAATGAGGAGAGAGAGAACATGAAGAAATGATAATAGAATGAAGAAATGGGAAGAGAGAGAGAAAGCATACCCATATAGCATTCTGCCATTAGAAAACACTTGAGCACCCAAAGTTTGAGGTTCATTGCAGAGAGATAGAGAAGAGGAAGGGGGGAGCACAGGTTTGCTGTTAGTTGGGTCCCTGTTTTAGAGAGAGAAACCGCGTTTGCAGAGATCAGTCAATAATCCAACCACAAAAAGAACCTGAAATCTGTTTACGCATTGGCACTGACGTAGACTGCAGCGGGCTTTTCTCTCCCTCTCACTCTCTCTAAAACTCGTCTTTCCCCTCTCTCTCTCTCTCTCTAACTTGTTTGTCTTCAATGACAGTCTTATTAAAGGGAGAGAATTATATTATTATTATTATGGAAAAGTTATTCATGAGTCAGCGGGTACAAGAGCCCGCTGAGTCGTCAACGTCCATCCCTCAGATGGACGTTGTAAAAAACCCATGGGCCTAAACGAATTCAAACGGTGTAGAAATTTTTTTAAAAAATATAAATATTTTAAATATTTAAATTTTTATATTTTCATATTCGTGATCATCTTAACCTAAAACATAAATTTATAAAATTTTGATTTAAAATTTTATTTTTAAGGTAGATTTAAGTGGGAGCCCGCATATATATAGTATGTGTCGGCAGACTCATAGAAATATTATTATTGCAGCCCCTCTATCAGAGCAGTCACAGGACAATTTGACAGCGGACTTGCATTGGTATTCACTTTTAGTTTTGAGAATGTTACAAATCCATAAAATAAAGCATAATGTCTTTTGACAATGTAACAAATCCATAAAATAAGGTAAGCTATATAATGTGTATTTCGTAATTATCAGCAAAATTAACCCCCGTATATATTGCAAATATCACATAAGTTTTTAGCTTTTTCCTTCCTTCCTCCTCCTTCTTTCTTTTTTTTTTTCTTTTTTTTTTTTTTTTTTTCTTTAGGGAGTATTATTCAAGGGTCAAGGCAAATAATTTAAGGGTGCCACCGGCGACCTGACCCTAAACAATCCTCCTCCTCCTCCTCCTCCTCCTCCTTCTTCTTCTTCTTTTTTTTTTTTTTTTTTTTTTTTCTTAGGGAGTATTATTCAAGGGTCAAGGCAAATAATTTAAGGGTGCCACCGGCGACCTGACCCTAAACAAAAGGCCACTGATTTTGGCTTGAGGGTCGGATCAGGAATAGTGGTCATGATTCAACCTGGGATTTTTATTTTTATTTTTATTTATGGCACACAAATGACATTTACACTGTCCATTTCCAATTATTGATGGTGAAGATCAACCGCTTTTCCTCCGATGAACATTCACATGGGTAAGGCTAATATCATAGTTTAGTCATCAAATATGTGAAGTCCTAGTTTTACAACCTTGTTGGGGCCAAGCTTTAACAACAACCATGTTGGTTAGCAGGGATTTCAGTTGTCAACTTAATTGAAACATCTACCACATATTTATATCTGTTACTTCGAGACAAACAACATTAAAATCCCATATGTTAACATTGTTCGAACTATTGGAACCATAAACACAACAACATTAAAATCCCATATGTTAACATCGTTCAAATTATTGGAACCATAAACAAGTAAGAGTATTTTGGTAAGGTGGCTTGAATGGAGCTCTCCATAGAACAGTTCCATAAGCAGGGAATAGTTGAGAATAGTGCGAGGAGAGGTCGTCCATTATTTTTATCACACCTATTAAATTCTTAAAAATTAGTAATCAAATCTCGAACCTATGGTTAGAGCTCAATCATTATTTAATCCCCAAAAATTATGAGGATTAAAACCGCAATTTAAATAAACTTGGGATTTAATATTGTCTTGCCTCAAATAACTATTGATACAAATATTTAATTTAAGGCAGCACATTACAGACCCTATGCTAACCCAGACTTAGCAAGTAAGAGCATTTCAATTTGACCCGCAAAAGTACTCACATCATTCACTTGGAACCTCATAGGTTAGTCAAATTAGTAAAATAACCATGTTTGTTTAGGATTCCTAATTGAGAACATGGGTAGTTTCAAGACAAGGGTTACAACTTAAGTGATAGTTTTCCATTGTCTCTTACTTTGACAGTGGGTTTACAGCAATTTATAGGTTTCTATTATTTGTGTAAATGTTTTCAAACATGGACTCCCAGTTTCTAAGCATTAAAAATAAAAATAAATAAATAAAAGGGGAAACTATTAAGGGTATATTAATCATTGAAACAATTTAGTTATTTTGTTAAACAAGGAAGAGAACAGAGATTGTTTTGTCTGACGAAACCACTTAAAAAGTTCTCTAGAAGAGCAAAAGTGGGCATAGTTTGAGTCTTACGATTGGTAAAGTGTGTAATGAAAGATTAATTAAGAAGAAAAGAAGTGGAAAATCAAAAGCTTGTCTCCCTAATTAAAAGTTCGTCTCCTTAAGCATATGGGATGGATGCTTCTCTGCAAAGAGACGCACATTTTTATGACTAACATCAAAGATAAAGATTATATGCTCGCTAGGGAAACTATCAAAATAAAGATGAACTATTTGACATAGTATTTATAGTGTTTGATATAATTTCAAAATATTCATAAAAAAAATATATGATGATAAGGTGGAATAGTACAAGTGTATAATGCTAAATAGTACAGCTCTCATGAGTTTTTTTGATAAATTTTCCTTTTTCTAATATTTACACCTGGCCACTATTACCCAAAGCGAATTACGTATGTGCCGAAGCAACCATCATCCACGGCTTATTCTTTGAGGCAAAACCATAGCTAGATTATTTCTAAGATCCTAAATTTTTGGGATTTGACTCCATAAACCAAGCAACCAAACTAACAATAAAAAATAAAAAATAAGAATTTTATTAAAAATAAAACTTGCATACTAGATCTCATCATCGTCAAAACCTTGTCCTAACTAATTGGGGTCGGCTACATGAATTTTGGTCCGTCATTTCATTCTGTTAAGGGTCATATCCTCATTGAGGCCATAAATACTAATATATTTTCGCACTGTTTCCAATCATGTTTTTTTGGGTGGGCCTACCCATTGTCTTTTTAACCTTCCACTTGAATTAACTCGTACCTTTTAACAGGTGATGTACTGGGTATGTTCCATGCATGGCCAACCCACCTAAGTCTATTATCTCTCATCTTATCGCTTATTGGCATCACACCTAAGTTTTCTCGAATGTTTTTATTTCAAATTCTATCCCTTCTTATATTGTCACTCGTCCACCTCAACATCCCCATCTCTATTATATTCATTCTCGGTATATTGTTTTTTTGACCGTCCAACATTCCACCATATGGAGCAAAGCCGGTCTCACAATTTTCTTTGGGCCTGTTTGGGTACATGAATTTTAAGGCATGAATTCCTAATATCTTAAATATTGTCAAAATCTATTGTTTGGATCGTTTAATGACTAAGATACTTAAAATCAGGAAAATCAAAATGATGGAAATAAGAGATTTAATTTCAACAACAATACATGTTTTTCTGTATTTTCAAGGCCCATGGATTTCACTCATTGGCTCCCTTGACCAGAAACATAGGGAGCATTTGGTAGGTATGAAAATTTTAGAGAGAAAGTACCTAATTTTTTTAAAGAGAGAAACTATCTCAAAATTTTTAGAGAGAAAACTTATCTCAAATTTTAACTTTTAGGGAGAGAAAATATGTTAAAATTTTAGAAAAAAAAAGTACTGTTTTTTTATAGAGAGATGAACTATCTAAAATTTTTAGAAAGAAAAACTATCTCAAATTTTAACTTTTAGAGAGAGAAAGTATGCTAAAATTTTAGAGAGACAAAGTATGTTAAAATTTTAGAGAGACAAACTACCAAATTTTTTTAAAGAGATATACTATCTCAAAATTTTAGAGAGATAAACTATCTCAAATTTTAAGTTTTAAAGAGAAACTATCATATTTTAGAGAGAGAAAGTACATGCAATATTTTAGAGAGATAAATTATTTCAAAAAAATTAGAGAGAGAAATAATCGCATATTTTACAATTTAGAGAGAGAAACTACATCAAATTAAAGAGAAAGTGCCTAAAAAGTTTTAGAAGTATAAACTATCTCAACATTATTCAGAAAGAGAAACTATATCAAATATTAAGTTGTAGAGAGATAAAATATTCTTAAAATTGTAGAGAGATAAAAACAATTTAAATTTGTAGAGAGAGAAATAATTCTTAAACTTTTAGAGATAAACTATTATAAATTTTAGAAAGAAAAATGGCAAAAAAAAATTTAGAGAGAGAAATATATCATTTTTTAAAGAGGGTAACTATCTCGAATTTTGAGTTTTAGAGAGAAATTATCTTGAATTTTTAATTTTAGAAAGAGAAATATATTAAAATTTTATAAATGGAAATTATATCAAAATTTAGAGAGATAAACTATCTCAAAATTTTTGGAGAGAAAAACTATCGCAAATTTATGTTTTAGACAGAAAAAGTATATTAAAATTTTCGAGAGATAAACTATATCAAATTTTAAATAGATAATAAAGTATATGAAATTTTTAGAGAGAGAAACTATCTCAAAAAAATTAGAGAGATAAAGTATCTCAATTTTTAAACTCTAGGGAGAGAAAGTATATCAAAGGATCGAGAGACACTATATCAAATTTGAATGAAAAACTTTTCAAAATTTTAGAGAGAAACTATCTCAAACTTGAAATTTTAGAGAAAGAAATCATCTTAAAATTTAAGAGAGTAACAATATCAAATTTTAGAAAGAGAAAATACATAATTTTTTTAGAAAAAAAACTATTACAAAATTTTTAGAGATAAATTATCTAAAATTTTAGCTTTAAAAAAGATAAAGGATCTTAAAATTTGAGAGAAAAACTACATTATATTTTGAAAAAATAAACTACTTAAAATGCTTAGAGAGAGAAACTATCTCAAAATTATTGAAGAGGTGAACTATCTCAAGTTCTAGGTTTTAGAGAAAGAGTATCTTAAAATATTAGAAAGAAAAAGTATATTAACTTTTAAAGAGAGTAAAGCACCTACAAATTTTAGAGAGAGAAATTATCTCAAAAATTTTAGATAGACAATTTCAAATTTTAAATTTTGGATAGAAAGTATATTAAATTTTAGATAGACAAACCATACTAAATTTTAGAGAGATAAACTATCTCAAAAAATTTATAGATACACTATCCAAATTTTGAGTTTTAAAGAGAGAAAGTATATAAAAATTTTAGAGAGAGAAATTGTATAAAGTTTTCTTACCAAACAATAGACATAGAAGTGATTGCAAGGAATCCATAAATTTTGTATAGTTTATTCA